GCAATCTAGATCATGTTTCGTGGAAAATGGTCCTTTCACCATTTATTGCTACGAAAACAAAAACAAGCAGCAAAGTATATTGTCTGGAAATGCAAAGGTCTTGTTGGCTGAAAGCTTAGGGAATGTCAACCAAATTCTTTGTTGTGTCAAGCTAATCACATAGTAGAACAGATTGGTTGTGATGAGATCTAGTCGAGGGGTCATTGCAAATTGCAGAAAATTCTCACTGATGTGATGTGTTCAGTTTGACATTGCAATCTGCCAGTTTCTGCCTAGGAGAGTTTTCTAGCTATATCTTGCTTTCAGATCTTGAAAGAATAATTTTTTCCTTCTTTGTAGGTTCCATCCCACTGGATCCCAGTGTAACACAATCCTTAGAAGACGGCCAAACCTTTATTGACTTGTTTCCTAACTCACATATTGACATTAAATGCAGCAAACGCAATCACTTCCAAACTGTTACAAATGGAAAGCAATGGGGATCAGTGATTGAAGGAACAAGCACTTTTTTTAAAAAAATGGTTGTTGAGTAGGTGGCATTTATTATTATTCAGCAGGACAAATGTGAGTGAGATGGCTAAGGGATCAACCACTGGTTTCCCCTTACAGTGCCAGTCTCTTATCAGTCGAACAAGTGATGAGAATTACGGCAATCATCAACTGGAAGATATTTTCCTGATGTACCAACAAATTCTCAGAACTCAGATGTCAAGAGAAACGAAGGACAGTGAAGGAGAATTAACAGTTTGAACACAGTACTGAAAATGGTGAAGGATAGGAAGTCTGCATACTCCTCTACAAGGCTTGAAAAAAACTTAAATTCAAGCTTGCCCTTTGGACAATCAATGCTCAAATTTTGTTTGCCCTGGGCAAGTGTTGGTTTATTTATTTCCTTATTTAGTTGGAGGACAACTTGCCTGGGCACTTGCCCATTGAGCGAGTGAGAATGAAAAGTAACTTACCCGATAGCAAAATCTACTTGTCCCAGACACCTGAGCAGCACTTTTTTCAAGCCCAGCTCTAGTCATTAAGGAAGAAAACATAGAAAATTTTGGCTTCACCTCTCTATGGACACTTTTGCCACTGACACTTAAACCAAGCATTGTATTGTTGTGAAACCATTCACAATAACCTCCTTCACAAAGTTCTACTTGTTAAAGCAAGAAAGTATGATCACTTAACAGCATCTTGATTTGGGAAAAGCTTCGTTTGAATTTTCCTTCGATAGATAGTTACATAGTATGTGCGACTTCAAGACTTGTTTTGTCTATGACCTCTTTTGGTTGCAGTTTTCGTTGCAGTTGGTTGCCAGTAAAGATTGGAATTTGGGATTACTTCACATAACCATGCACGAAAAATATGACTTGATACAGAATAATAACAACTGACAATAATATAACCAGATAAAAACAGTAATAATAAGATAGAAATAAACCAATAAATAAATAGATAAGTAGAAATAAAAATGAAAATTATTAGTTTAGCATGTGGTATCAAGATTTATATTTTGTGCACGGTTACATGAGGTCACCTTGGATTTAAATCTGTTATGGGAACCAAGTTTAGAGGTCATAAATGAAACTACAGTTTTGTAGTTGTATATATTAGTGTTACTGTGTGTTGAAATAAGATTTGAATGCAGTTTTA